GAGCATTTTTTTCAAAATCACTTCGTTAACTAGATATCCGACATTTTATATTTTTTACATAATTTAACTTTGAATTTTTTCACCTGATCTTTATGAAACTTGGTTTGTATATTAAGGTAGAAGAGACCCATGTTAGAAAAGAACTCCTTTTTATTCAACTTGAAATTTTAAAATGGCGGTCATTTTAATTTTCAATATTTAAATTACTAAAGAATGGCTGATAAACAAATGTCAAGAAAACTATTATTTAGCATCTTTAATTCCCTATCAAATTATTCTGAATTTCTTTAAGTAGTTTTTCCGTTGTTGATTTAGTTCTTGTATTTTAGGTATACAATTTTCACTCTACACATGCCATTACATATATTTATTGTTCTAATTATAACACTGTAATTTGTAGCTCGTGAATGTGTTTAAATAGCATCTCCACAATAACGAGATGTTTTATCCTGGTCGACGTTTAATATGACTCAGATATAGAACTGCACGTGCGTTGTGCGACGTGCGACGTGCGTCGTGCGAGTGACGATGTTTGAAGGATTGTGTTTCTGTAATTGTATATCAAGGATCTGTTGCTCAATCACTCATCAAACACACTCCAGTCTAGTTACTGATTGATGACATCCACTGCTACTGTTTACATTATTTCTATGCAGTGGCAAAGAGGGTGGTTATAAAAAATTGAGAGTAATCACCTCAAATATTAGTTTGGTTAATGCGATGCATCTATTGCAATTAACTGTTAATGGGTATTATAATTCGACTTTCAATAGTTTCAAAACACGTATAATACTAATTCAATAGCATTTTGTTCCTTTAAGCTTGTGACGAAACCCCCTCCCACTACACATGTATAACCCTCTCGTCACATAGTAAAATACGAAGCTTGTTCTGTGTTCTGGTGTGTTTCAAGTCAAGTATCAAATCACTTTATGTAGATTATGTTAATGTTCTTCTCTTGTTTTAGAGTAAATTCATAAGTGTGCACTTTGCTCTTTGGTTGTAATAAAATGACTGTTACATGGCTGTAGATTACTGTTGCAATCAGTAGTTTACAAATACATGTCAATCCATAGGAACTTAGCTTGACTTACAGCTACATAAGGCCAAAATAAAAAAAGTCCACTGTCCATAGAGATGAGCTTCTGCTTCAATGTACTACGATTATTACGACAATTTTTTCATTCGAAGGAGTTCCATGTGGGATTTTGATATCTTGAAATCTGTGATATTTTGCTGTGGAGCGAAATCTACTTCCAAATCCAACCCAGAGCAAATAAGCGTTAAAGAAGGCAATATTTCAATGTGGTCGGCAAATTAATTTTAAAAAGGTATGCTATGCTATTTTCAAAACGATTTCCTTTAAACAGCAGTAATTGAAATTAAGAAATTAAGTGGTAGCCTTATAAAAAAATATTTTTACTTTCCTAAAAAAATACCAAAATTAATTGGTGAAAAGGCAGACTATAATTATTGTATTCGCCTGCTTAGTTTAAATATGGTATTTTCCAAACAATTTGTTTTTAAGTAATTTCAAGCGGAGAACTCTCTGTATTTTAATGAGACAGGCAGATTGAAAACTCGTATAATAAAATGTTGTAGTGATGTACACGTGTGGTCATGGTAAGATGTTTAGCCAAACCTGTTTATATGCAAGATCATTTCTGGCTTATGGATGGTTCTGTATTTACTGTATGTAGTCAATGTTAACAAATATGGCACTAAGATTCTTTGTACTCTCATAATGATAGCTATGAACAAAATCATTGCTTGTAAAATCGAATAAAAAGACGAGTAAAAAAATACAGTATTAAATCTCGATTATCATATAAAATACAAGTTTCACATTTCGCAATTGGATGAAAAGATGTAGTAACACTTCGGCCCAGTAACATTTCGGACAAACTCAAATTTCTTAGAAAAACAGTATCACTTCGTCCCACTCGCTTTTACAGATGATTAAATAAGCTAATGGAGTAACATTTCGGCCCGACGGGCCGACGAAAAATTGACAAGGGTTGAGGAACGCAGTTTAGGTAGTAAGAGGTACATGAGGATGCGGAATACTATCCCCCAGAAAACTACCCCCCCACACGTGACGTCACAAAATCTGCTAACTTACCAATATGGAAGCCGTGTCCGCGACTGGAATACTACCCCCCCTAGACAAATCCTGCTATGTAATTTTAATTGTAATTCGAGTAATTCCGTTGGATAATAGAAAATGCGTGTGGTGAATATAAAAGAGATTTTCGAAATGTTACAACAAGTTTGGTTGGTTAGGTTAGGTTAGATTAGAACTGTTTGACAACTAAATTTGAGTGTCCGTGACTGGAAAACTACCCCCCGGTCTCTGACGTCAATATGACGTAGGAACCTGCTTGGGGGGGGTAGTCTTCCGGGGGGGAGTCTTCCGGCGACCCAGGTACATGACCTGTATACTTTGCAACCACCCTCTGGTGGAATGTCGCCCAACCGTCACCCCTTGCATCCTCTGACCTCACATGACGGAGAATCTGTGGAATCTTACCTAACCTAACCTAACCTAACCTGTCAAATATTTTGTTGGGACGAAGTGTTACTAGTGGGCAGGTAGAGAGTTGGACCGTAGGCCACATCTGAGGGTTTCGGGCCGAAATGTTACTGGGCCGAAGTGTTACTTGGGCCAAAGTGTTACGACACGGATGAAAAGTCTATCTTTGTTTGGCTAGTATATGATACTACTCATGAACCTGTTCATTTTGTACAGTACCGGTGCTTATTTATTTTATAGTTTGTTTTATAGTAAACGATGGATATGGATGGCAATGGATAGTCACACTGCTAATGGAAAGTAAACCAACAACTGTGAGTGGCTATTGTAGCTTTATAAATGAAATGTTTTAATTTAAGAACATTTGTAAAAAAAATTACCCCCCATAAGGTTAATATTAGAGAATTTGAAAGCCATCAATAGATAATTGGATCAGTTGAGTTGTACACTTACTTGTAAGAGTATTAAGTCAATTGTAAAACACTTTCTCAGGTATTTTTTGGAGCAAAAATACTAGATAATTTGTATTGAGCTATTACTGTTATGAACCAGTACACTTCATTGAAAAACACATTAATATATTGCATAAATTAACATAAACAAACGAGATGACAATATAACAAGACAATATAAAATTTTAGAAAACAGTAATCTTTATTCAACTTAAAATTTTAAAATGGCGGCCATTTTAATTTTTAAAACTTAAATTACTAAAGAATGGCGATTAATAATAATTTAAACAGGTAAGATTATTCTTTTCTTTGGGACTGCATGTTGAATTGTATGTGTGTTTTTTTTTAATTTTTATACAGGTTGACAATTAAATGGTGGAAAAATAAGGAAACCTATGGCTTTTTCAAAAAATGCTATTTAAACATCCTCGAACACATATACGATTAGAGCAACTTTATTAAGTTTCATGGTGATCGATAAAAGGTTTGGCCACGCATTAAGGACAGGCGGACATCCGTTATTCAATCTATACAGTACAATATGTATATATCTTCAGGCTCATTTTAAATAAATCATCATGTTTTGTGTTGGACTTAACTACATTAATTATTTCTGGAAATTGTATAGTGTTAACAAGATGGACGGATTACTTTAAATGAGTGAGTGAAATCGTATACTGTATTTACATTCTCAATATAGCACAACAATATAGGTTTATAAATAATGTTATATGTTATGATAACGATTCACACTTAAGAGAAGGATTAAAATATGCAAAGTAAAATAGTTTGATGTTGAGAAGTATTTAAAATGAAGTTATCAGTATGATAGTGCGATAGAGAATGTGCATTGTGTATCAATCTGACAATATTGTATCCAATGTCATAGAATGAACACACTCTCGTACGGGTTTATAATACTTGTGAAAAGGGGCTAAAGTCGACTTTATGTAGCTACTTGTTAGCTATATACCTACTAACATTTAAACATAAAACAACCCAAAAGAAGACAACTTCAATCAAAACGCTCTCTATTATTCAATGGTAATGAGAAGTTTACCACAGGTTTTAAAGCCATTTTGTAGAGGTTAAAAAACAAATTATTTAGCATTTTAAAGCGTTGTTATGTAAAGAAATTTAATTAAATAATTAAAAAAACTTTCAATTTAGTTTGATTGCATTGAACATAATTTGATCAAATTTGGAAATATTCTTTTCTCTAAACTATTAATTTTTTACAAAAAAAAATACTTTATTACTTTCCCTGCAGCAGCAAACATAAGTGCTCATTACACTAATGTTATTTAAATATGAAATGAATCTGAAAATTGTAAGATGCTATTTTAGTGGAAATCCAGCCAGGTAAATGGAAATTCTAGTCTCTAGGGTTGGCGCGGCGGGAAATATTATGATTTGTAAAATAAAAATAAGGAACTCATAGTATAAAACTGTATAAGTTAAATCTATACACTGAATATTTTTTAGAATGTTAAGCCATAATAATGATTTATACTTTGTCAAGATGAATCAAGAGGATATTTTTTTCCTACCATGGGTCTCTTCTACCTTAACAAACATAACAAGTTTCATAAAGATCGGTTGAAAATTTTCAATGATACAAATGTGTATTTAAAAAGTACAAAATGGAGGATATCTAGTTATCGAAGTGATTTTGGAAAAATGTTATTCTTGATTTTCTCTTTATTTTGACCCAAGGAATCCACTACGTAAATTATGTTCCCACCTTTTTTGAACACCCTGTATACGTTTTTACACACCTATCCTACAAGTATATATTAATTTGTCCTCAACATTATATCTACGTTTATTTATTACGTTTGATTGATCCTGCTTATGAATGGATTGTTTACCACATGTTCGTATTCAAGATTATTTCCTGTAGTCGTCAACTCAAAACCACCAATTCTAAAACTGAAATTTACGTAAAAAATGTAAAATGAACGTCTGTATATTTAAAAGATTATGTTAAGTTATGACAAATATGGTATGCTTACCATTTTCAATCGTGGCGTGTGAGGGTATTGGCCCTAAGAGACATGTTATCAACAGTATCAGCGCGTACATGACGACGGAGGGTCCACGCTCCGCACTGGACTGGTAGACACTAGACAGGTAGTGAGGTATAGGCTAGTGGTATAATGGTTGTGGTAGGTATGCCGACCTTGGCCATCGTACCTTCGCGTCTCACACCATTTGCGACCTACAATACACAAGGTTTGACGGATGCTCCTTGATGAATTTTCAGTAATTAGTGAGTAAGTTAATTATTTCTTCACACGTCAAAAATTCCACCAGTTTTTTTTTAAGTTTTGATTTCACCATCGTGCCAGAAAATATTACTTTGTAAGAAACTTATGATGAAGTTATGTCCTTCATATGCAGGCTTACTTATGACAAATAATGGCTAAACGTTCCTCGTCAGACAATCCTTGACACGTAGTATCGAGTGCTACATTTATGTTTCGGCGGTTATTTAAATATCTCCACCATCGTCAGGCTAACAAAGGATGTTCTTCAATGAACTAATCGCACTTGAGTGTAACGGTAACGGAGTGTACTGTGGAACATCGTTAAGAAGTTTAAAAATGTCATCAAGAGTGGATCTCCATCAATCTTGATTTGTTATTTTGAGGAAATATGCTCTGAGGAAATAAAACTAACCTTAACATGAAACTTAAAGAAATGCACGCATTATTTTGTATGCATTTTAAATGTTTTGAAGCTGTCAACATTAATCTAACTTAAAGATTTTGAGTTTTCTTACGAGCTTAATGTTTGAAAATCATGGAAAACGGGGTTGTTTCAAGATTCATTTTTAGGGTTTTGGACTACTTTCATCGGCTTGTCTCGTAACCTATTTTTGATGGACACTGGTAAAATTAATATAAATAAGTGGCTATCCCGTTTAAAAATATATTGCGCAAAACACTAATAGGTACCACTATTGAACCAACTACCAGTACTACGTGAAATAAATCACAAATTTGCATACTTTTTACTAGATTATTGTGCCAATCTAAAAATTACTTCTTTTTAAGTTAAGCACAAACCAAATTATAATAGGCCGAGATAAATTAGACATAATGTGAGAAGTGAAGAGTCGTAAACGAAACAAAAATATTGTACATTAATTATGAGGATGAATTCGACACCTTCGACACTTTGAGAGAAGTGCTCGTATTTTACGTATATCATGTATGGTTACATGCCTTGTAGTTTGTTTACAACAATAATAAATAAAACATAATTACAGTGTATGTATTTTCACCAAAACATATAGAATCAAGAATGGTCCATTCTTAGTACGCAAATCAGCAAATTGGAATCGGGGTTGGTTGAAGATATAGGAAATAATATTGATCTCGTGGATACTACAATGTAAGAAATATCATATGACCGGCTACATGTTCAATGCTGCGGTAGTGGTGCGGTCATATTATGTTACATAGTGGCCTTCCTGGCGGTTACAGGGAAGTTCTATCTCTTGAAAATCGTATAAGCATTCGAAGCATCGAACATGATTGTGGAGTGAACTACAATCCAGAAATCTTGCTGCCAAAAATTCGTAGGCATTAAGTATCCACAACTTTGTTGAGCGAAGCTCTTATAAGTCGACTCGTATGCATTTCGTAATACGCAACTCCTCCTAGACGGCTGAAGCAATCATTTTCAAAATTCGCTTGGTGATAAAGACCAAATTGGTGAGTGCTAACATCTATATGACGTTAGGAATCCGCCCCACGGGCCCTCAAAATTACAATGTAATCCTTATGGAAGCAGTATTTGACACAAAAACTAATGCATAAGATCAGTTGTTGACGTAAAGGAGTTATAGTAACTGTTATCATGGATATTAGAAAAGAAACGGCTAGGATCAAAGAACATAAACAAATTACGTCACAAGCTTGAACCACTAATAACGTTGGTTTGGACGTTTTTGGCCGTTTCGGGCTAGTGTCGTTATTTGTATAGGATCAATATAGTTTCTGTTCTAATATTCATCTTGTTTTGTATTATTTTAGTTCGTGATTGGTTCTCGGATTCAATTTGAACATGATTCATTAACCTACAGAACAAGTTTATTATTACGTGTATTTGTATCTTAACTTTACTTTTATACTTTTCTTTGAAATGGCGACCATACAAATCAGTGTTCCATTAGTTTTACCTTGCGAACTAAACATTGTTATGGCAAGTCTGTAGTTATAACTGAAATTGCAAACACAACGGAATCAACCCACGGTGACGGTAGGTGCTTGGTGGTCTTATTGCATATCTGTGTGGTTGTATGGCTTTATCGGTGCCATTTTGATCTTTATTCATGCCATATGATCTTTCAAATCAGATTATATATTCAGATTATAGATTCTTTTATTTACGATTCATATAAAAAATATCGACAAGATCAGAACTTTTCAACATTGTTCGTATCACGGTAAGAAAAGAAGATGCGGTTTTAAATTAGATTTGTCACTACTGAAAATCTATGAACTTCGAGTCAGAACAGACTAACAGGCACACAAATATATTCTCCTTATGTTGTCACAATGGGAAGGTAAAATTAGCTCCTTATCAACATTCTGAGTTAATGGAAGATCTTATCAACCGGGCTACATATACCGACTATAGAGAAAATATTAAGTATCAAAAGAAACAAAAAACTTTCAAAAAACTATTTGAATAATACATTTGTAATGGCGAGCTCCAAGACTCACTTAGATGAATCAACATCATTCTGGTAGTTTATATAATTTTAAGATCTGGTACTACTACTTTTACCATCAGATTGGACCGTAAATACCCTCTAACATTGTACCAAAGTATGCTCAACTTTATAAATACGACGTTAACACAGCTGTTACTCACAGAATAGGTCAAAGATGCGACCAAGTGCTGATGCGTGATTTAAGTGACTACTTGTAGGGTCTATCTTTATTCCACACAACGAATATAATGAACAGAAATCAAGGAATGTAGGAGTATACATAAGCAAATTATCTCCATAGAATAAGTAGCTTATTAGGTTATCAGCATTGCGCAGTTCATACATTATTTATTTTTCAAATGAAACTCGAATTAAAATAAAGCATTCATTTCGTTAAACTAATAAATGGGTTTGATTAACATAAAATAGTTTATAATATAGGCCAGCTATCAGTTCTATTTTATGTAAAAAAAATAAGCTGCCTCTAATTAAATACAAAGATAAACAGTATTTGTTAATTGGTATGTCTCTTATTGCTGAAAATATTCCCGTGGCAGAGCACGGGCGGTTAACTAGTTTAACATTAAATTTGGATTACTTTTTCTCCAGTCAACTCTGCAATGTATAATAATGAAACCAGAGACAACGTAATATATACAATTATTGATAAGTTTTAGTTACTTCCCTGTGTTATGTCTTATATTTTTTATGAAGCCTTTTACAGTTCAAGGCGATTTGATATGTAAATTTGTTATGCCGAATTTAACATTCGGGTAGTTAAACATGGGAGGTGACTAAAATAAACGTGGTAGTGAGTGCTCTTGGAACAGCTGAACAAATTATAATGTAACTAAAATTCAAATATAAAGTATACTAGCTGTAATCCGCGGGCTTTGCCCCGTTTAACTTCTTAATTTTCAAGATGATCTCGTTCGCATGGCTCAATCACGTCCTGGTTGAAGTTCGTTCGCTACGCTCACTCACCTTTAGGTTGGAGCTCGTTCGCTGCGCTCACTTGCCTTCAAAAATTCAATTATAACCCCAATTCAAAAGAGTCTGTGTTTTTGTAGGGACTGCCAGAGCACATTTAAATGCAATTTACTTTTTTAGTTTGATGGTTCCTCTACGTTTTTTTTTTTTTTTTTCAATCTGATTGTCTCTTTACGCACAGTTAATGACTTTTTATATTTTCTTGTTCTTTTTGTACTTTTCACACCCTGTGTAAGCAACTTCCCTGTGTAATAAAAAAAAATGGTTTGGGTATAGTTCACTGATAAATTGTAGTTCCACATATCCAGAATACTCGCCATCTCGATAGGTAAAGTTTGGTACTGCTGGACGTCTAACACTGAACTTGAGCAAGATTCATCACCTATGATAAAATATTTGTATGTTTACCACTCATTAGCAATTATCTGTACAACTTGATTGTTCTGGTGGCCGTAGAGAATAATTGATATTGATCAAAACAATAAGTTTCCGTCCCCTACTATGGATATTATTTCATATTCCATACTCAAAACATAAACTCAATTACCACTTTCCTTCAGATGACTTTGCAGGAAAACTAAAACATTTCATAAATACAAAATGTACACCAAAACATAAAAATAATGTTCAAATACATTTATAAATAATTTATTGTGGTATAAAAAGTTAACAAATACACTTTTCCTTGATCAAAATCGTGTGTTTATAAACAGAAACTCATAGATTAATAATTACATACTGAAAGTGAGGTTATAAAAATAATAACAAATGTCTGACAAACATTAAACAGCTTACGAATAATTTATAAACTGTGTATTGTTTTCTTCAATAAGAATTGTATTGACTCAACCTTTGAAGGGCTGTAGGTCGTAGACCAACGTAAATTCTAAGGAAGTTCGGCAAATCTACACACTACCCCCTTTAATTTGAGACATAAATCTTGTAGATCGGTCCAGTAATGACTGAGAAAACAGTGTTACAACTGTGTATTAAATATATAGATTGTACTGGCTTAATGAATAATGATACATATCACGATAGCCTGAAGTAAACATATTCAATATAAGTAGGCCTATATATTGAAGTAAAGAAAAATCTGCTCTGTATAGCTTCCAGGGCTATTCTTTTGGGCTTTACGGTATATCTAGTTTTGTGGTAAGACACTAAATTTCACTATTTTTTCTGCCGTCACGGAATAAAGACCTTTAATTTGAGGTCCCTCCCGACGTTCTACAACTTCCCAGGCGCCCTCAATTTTGACGCAAAGAATCACCTTACGTAATTAAATATCCAGTGCCCGAAAACTCGACCAAAAATATGTAATGTACAGACTTCTCTATTTTCACCCTACGCTGGAAATAAAACATGTGATTGGAATTTCTTCCATTTGTTTTGATTTACTGTTTA